GTAGGTAAGGGTGAATGGGTAGACTAAGACTAGATCATAGGGGCTTTCTTTCTCCAGTGAAATGTTTGTGATGTATTCTAGAAGCGGTGGAGAAACATCAGTGTTTTTAAAATAGGGAATTAACACATTTGGATCTGGAATTTAAGGAAAGGGAAATTGGAAATGGGACCAGCTGCTGGGAGATTTTATAACAGTCCAGGGATACATAATGGCAGTGGAAATGGAACAATTGATAAGCTTGGTGACTGATGACATGCTGGGGAACAGGGTAAAGGAAGCATTGAAAATGGCCCCAAATCTTAGGATATTTGAAAGGGAAGCATGTAGGCTACTACCATACCACCCTGAACAAGCCCAGTCTTGCCTGAAAGGGAGGCATATAATGAATGTCCAGCTACCTATATCCAGGAAACAACTGGAAATGTGTCTGGAGTAGAGGAGGGAAGTTGGACTAGCAGATTGGTAGTATCACTAGCACCCAGTTATCCAAATATGAGAGAGATCCAAGTTATTCCCTTCCGTGCCAATTTTACCAACTCCTGCCAATTTTATTACCTAAATATATTTTAATGTCATCCCCTCTTTATCACCATTGATCCTCTCCTGGCTTCATTCATCTGTATGGTAGTTTTCTCATCTTCATTCTCATTTTCATCTGACTCCTCTTCTACACAAATTTATATATTTTGAAAAATTAATTTGCCATTGTTTCAAACCAGTTACAGGGCAAACACACCTGATAGCAATAATGTAGGCATAACCTTAAAATGACCCTGTATGGTGGATGTACTTGCGTGTGTTGCGAGCTAGGGAATCTGGGAGTCGCCATCCCGGAGATCAGTTCCTTGTCTGTGAGGAACATCTGAGCTCCTGGGCCCATACTGTGGAACACAGGTTGTAAAGGGGATTGAAGCTGTGAGTTTTGGTGGGGGGAGTGGGGGGTCTATGAAGATTGCCAGGACATTAAGGGAATGTAGATGACATACATAATGTGGAGGACATTAAGGGAAGGGGGTTAAGTGAAAATGCTGTATAAACTTCTATGATGCTTGCAAGGGTTTGCAGTTTTCCTTCCCAGTCCGTCACCACTGGACTGTAGGTAAGGTGGATATCTTGTCTGGCCTGCCATCACTGGACTCTCTCCTCTGTATGTAAACCCCTGATAAAAGCCTATGTCTCATTTGCTGGCTCTGGGTCTCTTCAGCCTCTTGAGCCTGTTGCCTTCCCTGTTGAGGTTAATAGAGGTTCAGCACACACAATTTTGTGACTCCTCTTTCACTGTAAGATACAGTTAAGCTCTTTGCCTCTTATTCATCTTTATCTCTGCAGCTTCATCTGCCATTTCACACCCTCTCAATACTTTATGCTGACCGATGTATAGTTCCACACTCACACATATCTTTGTCAGGAACATGGAGCCCAGGCACTTACCTTGCCTTACTTCCCTAACCAGCTCTTACTCAGTGTTTAAAATCCCATTTGGTTTTCATGCCCTCTATGAGGTCTCCTCTTTTGTTTGTCCCTGAACAAAATTTACTTATGCTATTGAATATATCACACACTTTAATTTTCAGACCTGGCTTCCCTACTATACTATAAACTCCCTGAGGATAGGTATTATGTTTTAGTCATCTTTGTGTTTCCAGTGCTTAGTACATAGTATTTGCTCGGTAAATGTTTAGTGATAACTGGGTTTTATCAGCAATCTAACTTGCTTTAGGTAAGTTATGCTACAGTTTGAATGTTTGTCCTCTCAAAACTCATGTTGAAATTTATGGCCTGGCTGGGCATGGTGGCTTATGCCTGTAATCCCAGCACTTTGGGAGGCCAGGGCAAGCAGATCACTTGAGGTCAGGAGTTCGAGACCAGCCTGGCCAACATAGTGAAACCCTATCCCTAGTAAAAATACAAAAATTAGCCTGGCATGGTGGCACGCATCTGTACTCCCAGCTACTCAGGAGGCTGAGGCAGGAGAATCGCTTGAACTCAGGAGGTAGAGGTTGCAGTGAGCCAAGATCACGCCACTGCACTCCAGCCTGGGTGAGAGTGAGACTCCGTCTAAAAAATCATAATAATTTACAGGCTAGGCAGGTGGCTTATTCCTGCAATCCCAGCACTTTGGGAGGCTCAGGGGGACGGATTGCTTGAGCTCAGTGTTGGGGTGATCAGACCCAACACCAGGCCTTGGGGGCTATGAAGTCCGGTGGAGTCAAAAGAATGAGACAAGACATGAAGTGGGACCAGGGGGCAACACTAGTATGGAGGCCGTGAGGGCCCTGAACTCTGGAAACCTGCACTATTTATTGGCGATCAAACAAGCAGATGGTAAGGATGTGGGGGTTGAAAGAAAGCAGTGTATCAAGTGCATGATCTACAGTTGTGACGGTTTAGCATTTTCTTTGAAGCATATGGAACATGTTCTGCTACTTGAGATAATGGGAAACATGTTCGTCTAGTTTAGGATACAATTGATCTATGAGCCTGGGAGCGCTAGAAGCAAGGAGCCAGAGACCATGAGGGGTTTTATGCCCTGAACCCTGGATTCCATCCAAGCCATGAGGGGTTTAGTGCCCTGGGCTTAGATTGTGGTGCAGCAGGGCAGCCTTCCACCCTTTGGCACAGAGCTTGGTGTTCCAAAGGCAACAAGGGGTTTTAGACGCTGGACCCCAGACATGTTCCAAGATTCTTTTACATTATGTCAGATATGCAAGCCCTGCCTCAGCTTTTTTCCTGACACTCAGCTTTTCCCCAACACTCAGGAGTTTAAGACCAGCCAGGGAAACATGGCAAAATCCTGTCTCTCCAAAAGATACAAAAATTGTCCAGGTGTGGTGATGCTTCCCTGTGGTCCCAGCTACTTGGGAGGCTGAGGTGAGAGGATCCCTTGAGCTCGGGTGGTGGTGGTTGCAATGAGCTGAGATGGTACCACTGCACTCCAGCCTGGGCAACAGGGCAAGACTCTGTGTCAAAAAAAAAAAAAAAAAAAAAAAAAACATTTAATTGCCATTGTAGCAGTATCAAGAGGTAGGACCCTTAAGAAATGATTAAGCCAAGAGGGCTCCACCCTTGTGGGTAAGATTGGTAGTGTTATAAAACGATGAATTTGGCTCCTTCTTGCTCCCTTTTATCCTTTATCCTTCTACCATGTGATGACTTACCCTTGCAGATGGTAGCACCATAATGTTGGACTTCCCCGCCTCCGGAACTGTGAACCAGTAAATGTTTGTTCATTATAAATTACCTATCCTGTGGTATTCTGTTACAGCAGCACAAATGGACTACAATAGGTGAATACAGTAGTTGGCAAAGATATGAGATGGAAAGAAGCTTGGCCTTAGCATCATTGAGACTTTGCTCCAATCTGTCCTTCCTCTGGGCTTTACTATTCGATGAGCCAGTAAACTCCCTAATGTTTAAGCCAGTCTGAATCAGACTTTCAGATTTGTAACAGATATAAAATATACTTGAAACTGATAAAAGTGGTTCTATCAAATAAAAAGCACTGTATTTTCACATTAACAATTTTATACACACCTCCCCCCCCCCCCGCATTTAGCAAGTACTCATGAGCATCCGTTAGCAGCAAGGTAGATGTCCTGCCAATGGTTGTATGGCTACCAGTTGCAGTGCTTCCTTATTCACTTGAGGGGTGGGATGGGGGAAGGAGGGTGGGAGGAAGGAACAAATTGAGTGTTTATACAGTTTCTGTTTCAATTAAAGTTTGAGAGCCCAACACATTTTTGTGTAACTTTAAAAATTACTTATGAAAATAATTTATTGAAAATATTGACCAAACTAAGATGTACCTGTTTGGCCATTATTTTCAAGGTTTGAAAGCTTTTGTGCTCTGAAGCATTTGTTTTGTCTAGGGTAAAATAGGATCATTCAATAAGCAGATATTGAACTCTTGCTGTGTACTGAAGATACAGTTTTTGCCCTTGGGGAGTCACAGAAATACTATAATAGAGGTATGCGCTGAGTCTGATGGGATTAGAGGAAGGAGCCATTAACTTGGTGCTGGGGGAGTATGAGTGTCATTGGCAACTTTCTAAGCTTTCACTGTAATGGATATCTTTATCCGTTACTTGTACCTCCTGTAGTGTACTGTTGTGATTGCCAGTTTTATATATCCTGTAATACAGAAGTCCTCTGAGAATACGTACCTTGCTGATGATATTGCTATAGTGATATGAAGTATTATTTAATATTTAGAGAGTAAAATATATAGTTACTGCAAAGAGACAAAAGATTATATTATGACATTTTCTATTATGTTGATTTCTGTTCTATCACTCATGGATACATGTAATCAGTGGGCTTTACAATAACTATGTCTGTACATTAGCAAAGGAATTTGAAAGGGTTTACCTCATGAATCCATCATTTAATGATAGATTAGAGCATAATTCTATTTGTGGGAGTGGGAGACTGGAAAAGAGACTAAATGTCACATTTTTGACAGCCACACCTGGATTTCCGACTTGGTAATTAACATTAGCCAGAACTAAGTACCAGTTTCTAACCTGAATTTTCTACTGACATGTGTGGTTTGTTGCTGTCATTGACTATTAACTTTTTTTTTGGGCTTCAATTTAAGTAAGATTTTAAAAAATTGATTCTTTTAAATAATTAAAGATCATGTCAACTTTGCATTTTAAAAATAAATCTAAAGTACATCTAAAGGCAAATCAACATAAGTAGCAGAAAATGATTTTTTTATTATCAGAAGGAATTCATAAGAAAAAATATTTTGAAACAGTAGTCTTACTCTTTTAGTGAAATTATCTTTGTTTTCACTATGAATTTTAGAAAATTAGGCTCTAAGCCAATATTAAACAATGTTCTTTGGAATGAACTGAGGACAAACTCATTTTTATATTAACTTTATGTTGCCTCTGTATTTTTTAGCTTATGTGTTATTTTTAAACCTACTTTATAAAAATATGTATATGTTTCTTAGCATCACTAATTAAACTATGATTCCTTTTTATTCCTTATAGGCTTCTAAGGGAAGAATTCCATACAGATGTTACCTTCTCTGTGGGTTGTACTTTGTTCAAAGCACACAAAGCAGTCCTTTTAGCAAGAGTTCCTGACTTCTATTTTCATACTCTTGGACAGACATCAAATAGTTTAACAAATCAGGAGCCTGTTGCTGTGGAGAATGTTGAAGCTTTAGAATTTAGAACGTTTTTACAGTAAGTGCTTTCTTTATTCATATAAGTCTAATATGTAATTGCTTATTTTTAACATGTGTGTTTTTATTTAATATATTTTCATATGTATTTTGTAACCTGATAAGAAAAATCCATTCACTTAAATTCCAAATTATCTTAGTAATTAGTGTTAATAGAGGCTAAGTGTTAATATTAGAAGCTTAGTAGTGGTAGAGGCTAAGCATTAAGCTAAGACTGATCCTGAGAAAGGGCAAATGGTGTGCTCTGTAGTAATTTAAATGAATTAGTCTATTCCAGGATTTCTCAGTAGTGGCACTATTGGCATTTCAGGTTGTATAATTATTTGTTGTGGGGACAATGCTGTGCATTTTAGGATGTTTAGTTGAGACTGAAATATCTCCAGACATTGCCAGATGTCCTCTGGAGGTTCTGATTGCCCCCTGTTGAGAACCATTGCTATGTACTGACTTCTGTATTGTTGGTATGTGAAACTTTATGTATATTTATAAAAATATAACATCATAACTGTTTTTATTCTCATGGCTTATGTCTTAGTCCATTTGGGCTGCTATAACAAAATACCTTAGACTGGGTAATTGGTGAACAACAGAAACGTATTGATCACAGTTCGGGAGCCTGGGAAGTCCAAGATCAAGGTGCCAGCAGATTCAGTGCCTGGTGAGGGTTAGTTACTTGAAGACAGCATCTTCTCTGTGTCCTCACATGGCAAAAGGGATTAACAAACTTTCTTGGGTCTTTTTTATAAGAGCACTAATCTCATTCGTGAGGATGGAGCCCTCATGACCTAATCATCTCTTAAATGTCCCACCTCTTCATACCACCACATTGGGGATTAAGTTTCATCATATGAATTTTGGGGATGGGGGACACAAACATTCAGACCATAGTAACTTGTATTTGGTCAAATTGTTTTTTTAGAACAGAACATCTTGGGGATTCATGTTTTAACTCAGAATTGTCATCAGCTAAATAATGGGAGAAACCAGTTTAATCTTCATTCTGTACTTCATTTCTTTTTGTTGTTGCATAATATTTCATTGTATGGCTATTCCACATTTTGTTAATCCATTCATTGCCATTTAAATTGTTTCTATTAGTACTTTTTGGCTATGATGAATAATGCTGCTATAACACTTATATGCAAATTTTTCTGTGAACCTATGTTATTATTTTTCTTGAGTATATACCTAGGAGTGGAATTGCTGGGTCATATATATAGTAACTATGTTTAACCTTTTGAGGAACTTCTAAACCGTTTTCCAAACTGGCTATAACATTTTACATTCCCACTAGCAATGTAAGAGGGCTTCAGTTTCTCCACATCCTCAGCATACTTGTTATTATCTTCTGTATTTTTTATTATTATCCTCCTTGTGGATGTGAACTGGTATCTCATTGTAGTTTTCATTTGTATTTCCCTGATGACTCATGATGTTGAGCATATTATCATGTGCTTATTTGCCATTTTTATGTCTTTGGAGAACTATCTACATCCTTTGCCCATTTTGAAATTGGGCTCTCTTTATATTATTGACTTCTAAATGTTCTTTATATATTCTGTAATGTTAGACTCTTATCACAAATACGATTTATAAATATTTTCTCCTATTCTCTGGGTTGTCTTTTCACTTTCACGATGGTATCATTTATGACACAAAAGTTTTAAATTCTTATGTAGTCAGGCCAGGTGCAGTGGCTCATGCCTGTAATCCCAGCACTTTAGGAGGCTGAGGTGGGCAGATCACCTGAGGTCAGGAGTTCAAGACCAGCCTGGCCAACAGACGGCAACCCCGTCTCCATTAAAAATACGAAAAAGTTAGCTGGGCATGGTGGTGCATGCCTGTAATCCCAGCTACTTGGGAAGCTGAGGCAGGAGAATCACCCGAACCCAGAAAGTGGAGGTTGCAATGAGCTGAGATTGTACCATTGCACTCCAACCTCGGTGATGGAGCAAGACTCCATCTCAAAAAAAAAAAAAAAAAATTATGTAGTCTAGCTTATGTAATTTTTCTTTTGTCGCTGTGCTTTTGGTGTGATGGCTAAGAAACCATTACCTAATCCGTGGTCTTGAGGATTTACTCATTAATATGGTTTGGATTTGTGTCTCCACCCAAATCTCATGTCAAATTGTGATCTCCAGTGTTGGAGGAGGGGCCTAGTGGGAGGTGATTGGATCATGGGGATGGATATCCCCCTTGACGTCCTTGTGATAGTGAGTTCTAAGGAGATCTGGTTATTTACAAGTGTGTAGCACCTCCTCCTTGTTCTCTAGAGCTCTTCCTCCTTCTTTGGCCATGTAAGACGTGCTTCCTTCTTCTTCGCCTTCTGCCTTGATTGTAAGTTTCATGAGGCCTCCCCAGCTATGCTTCCGGAAATGCCTTCCTGTACAGCCTGGGGAACTGGGAGTCAATTAAACCTCTTTTCATTATAAATTACGCTGTCTCAGGTAGTTCTTGATAGCAGTATGAGAACGAACTAATATACTCGTGTGTGTGTGTGTGTGTGTGTATGTGTATGTGTGTGTGTGTATATATTTTTTTGAGACAGGGTTTTGCTGTGTTTCGTAGGCTGAACTCTTAACTCCTGGGCCCAAGTGAGTCTCCCAAGTAGCAGAGATTACAGGCATGTGCCACGATGCCCAGGTTACTCCTATATTTTCTTCTAAGAATTTAATGTTTTTATATTTTTAGCTCTTACATGTAGGTCTTTGATCCATTTTGAGTTAATTGCCATGTATCATGTAAGGAAGGGGTCTAGCTTCATTCTTTTGTATGCAGATATGCCGTTGTCACAGCACCAATTTTTCCTCCTCCTCTCCCTTCTTTTCCTCGGATTGTCTAGACACTTACTGAAAATCAGTTTCCCATTGCTGTGGACTGCAGTTGTCTCCACCCAAAATTTATATGTTGAAGCCTTAGCCCTCAGTGTGATAGCAGATGGAGATCGGGCCTTTGGGAGGTAGGTTGAGATGAGTTTATGAGGGTGGGGTCTTCATGAGGATTAGTGCCTGTATAAGAAGACTTAGGGTGGGTACAGTGACTCATGCCTGTAGTCTCAGCACTTTGCGGGGGCAGAGGCGGGTGGATCACTTGAGTCCAGGGGTTTGAGACCAGCCTGGGCAACATGGCAAAACTCAATCTTTACCAAAAATACAAAATATTAGCTGGATGTGATGGTGTGCAGCTAATAGTCTTGGCTACTCAGGAGGCTGAGGTGGGAGGATCACTTGAGCCCAGAGGCAGAGTAGTGAGCTGAGCTGAGATCAGGCCACTGCACCAGCCTGGGCCTCAGAGCGAGACCGTCTCCAAAAAAAAAAAAAAAAAGAACAGTAAAAAAGAAGAGGCTCCAGAGAGCTTGTGTGCATACTTACTCTATCCCTGCCATCCAAGGACACAGTAAGGCAATGGTGTTTGGAAGCCAGGGAGCCCTTACTAGAACCCAACATACTGGCACTTCATCTTGGTCTTCTAGCCTCCAAAAACTGAGAAATACATTTCTGTTGTTTAAGCTACTCAGTCTGTGGTATTTCATTATGGCAGCCTAAGTTAATTCACCCATAAATGTGAGGGTTTATTTCTGGTTTCTCAGTTCTATTCCACCAGTTTGTATGTCTGTCCTTAATGCCAGTGCCACTTATCTGTTTTGACTTTTATGAGAAGTCAGTTGGATTTTTGTGTTTTTATGTCCTTATGTATCTTTTATATGTCTAAAAAACTTCTGGGATATCTGTCCTTATATTAGATGCCAGTCTTTTAGTTATTTACTGATGTGGTTTTTGCCTATAATCAAAATGACATTTACATTAGTATAGAAAATTATCTTTGGATAATTATATTTTAAGTGTATTTATGTGATTGGCTTATTCATTTTATGCTTTAGCAGTTGCTTTAATGACTTTTTTCTTTATTGTTTCTGTTTCATGTGTGAAGCTCCTATGGAAAGCATAAATGGAAAATTGCCTAACTTCGGGTACCTGTGTTCATTAAAATAATATACTATAATTTAAGCAGATACTTTAAGTACAACGTAGAAAATCATTATCATTTTTCAGTACAGGTTATATGCTCATCATTGAGTTTGAAATACCAATTTTTGTTTTGTTTTGTTTTTTTGAGACAGGAGTTCTGCTCTTGTTGCCCAGGCTAGGGTGCAATGGCATGATCTCGGCTCACTGCAGCCTTCACCTCCCGGGTCAAGCGATTCTCCAGCCTCAGCCTCTTAAGTAGCTGGGATTACAGGCATGTGCCACCATGCCTGGCTAATTTTGTATTTTTAGTAGAGACGGGGTTTCTCCATGTTTTTCAGGTTGGTCTCGAACTCCCAACCTCAGGTGATCTGCCCACCTTGGCCTCCCATAGTGCTAGGGTTACAGGTGTGAGCCACCGCACCCAGCCAAAATATCAATTTTAAAGTATACACTTTTTTCTCCTAGTAGGTAATAGAGAATTGTTATAAGAACAAGCTTTGTGGTGAAGCCAGTTCTACCACTTCTGTGTGAACTTAGACTAATCACTTACCATTAGTTTCCTCATCTGAAAAATGGGCACATTAATAATACTTATAGTGGTGTTGTGATGGTTAAATGTGATGGTTATAAAGCACTTAGCACAGTGGCCTGGGCATATGGTAAGCACTGAATAAGATTGTTTTATAGGTAGTGACTGCAGATATGGCTCAAATGATTCAGTGGAAAGTTGTGCTTGCTTTTTGAGCTCATGATTATTGCATTATTCATAATAGCAGGTGCTATGAAATTATACACTTCTTCAGCTGTTGAGTGTATGTTTAAAAGAAGATCCTTGGCATAGATCAGATTTTTATACATTAGAGAAAGGGAGACATTACATCAATGATGTCCTTTATTTGTTATCATTGAAAGTGATTGGAAAAGATTGAATTAGACCCAGTATGGGAGAGTGGAGGAAGCACTGGACTTGGCAGTAAGACAGATCTGCCTTCTGGCTGTGCATTATCTTGTTTTACTGTTTTTTAGCCTCAGT